AAACTTAGTGTTAATTTCTTCCAGTCATGACACTTGTTGGGGGTTTCAGAGATAATATTGTCCCAAGAGCTGACTTTTCAGCATCGTGAAAGTTTTCTCCAGTAGTAATAGAGGTCACAAATGTGAAATACTAATATTGAAAGTGAGGACCTCTTTAATGGTGTATCGTCATAAGATGGACGTAGGGAGTAAGCAGAGGGGGGTCAGACATCCCTTTGTTGAGTTTCATTGGTTAGAGTCTAACCATTAGACCAATGAGCAGATATAATGGGATGACCTCTTAGTATTATTCAGTTAGCAATTTCAAAGCTACTTCCACCCACCCACTGATTAGAATTGTAAATGCCTGCTTTTCATCCACACCAGTTTTGTAGATAAAGAGCATTTAAATAGCTCTTTAAAGTTCAAGAAGTGCTTTCCTAAAAGTTATTTGAGCCCAGCTGGTGTGGCTCAGTGGTTGAGGGTCAACTTATGAACCAGGAGGTCACACACCTGGATTTGGGGCTCCATCGGTAGGGGCTAGGGGTGTGTGTGTGTGCAGGAGGCAGCAGACTAATATTTCTCTCTCACATCAAAGTTTCACTCTGTCTGCCTCTCCCTTCCATTCTCACTAAAATAAAAAAAATATATTGAAAAAAATAAAAATAATGTGCTGATACAGGATGAAAGTGTGTGAAACACAGGCAGTTGTAGGATATGCAGATTGCTGTCATTTGAAGACATACAGGAGAATGTTCTCTATACAAACATATAAATTCAATCACATCCATGTTTGCCCAAGCGAACACCGGCCTTTCTAAGCACAGCCCCCGACCCCACCGTCCGCACCCACAGGCCGCCGTCGCCCCAGTGAGCAGGGAAAGGAGAAACGATGCTGCAGGAGCTTGTCTGCTGCGCGGGAGCCTGTGGGGTTGAGGACTGCAGGATAATTTTGTGAATCAGAAAACGGAGACAAGGACAGATTGTGGACACACCTCCTCTAAGGGCTGAAGCTATTAAGACAACCTCTGGATGAGACCTTTAGGCAATTTCTTTCTTTTAATCTTTTATTGAGGAAAGTATTACATATGTCCCCTCTTTTCTCCCTTTGATACCTTAAGGCCCGCCCCCGCCCCTAACCCATTCAAATTCTGTTCACAAGAGTGAACGGAAACTGGGGCCGTTTCGTGTCCTTTGACCCGGATGTGGAAGACCCTGGCTGTGCGGGGCAGGGAGGAGCGCTCGGCGCCCCCCAGGCCTCCAGGACACCGAACAGAGACCGAGCGGAGAGGGTAGGTGAGCGGCTCCCAGGCCGCGGGTGGGTGGGACACAAGGAAGG